TTTGTTAAATATATAAATGGAAATCAAATAAAGGAGGAATATCGTTATAAAATCGCACAGAAGAAACAAAACAAACCATGTTATGGATAACTATCGCAGGAGTTTTGAGTTTCGCGTCTGTATACGTAGCTCTTGAAATAAACTATGGTGTTTGCATTTACCGGAAGTATGAACGCGCAGGTGATGTGAAATTCCTCGTGGTTGCTGGGATACGAGAAAGGGATGGGCAAGGCGCCTGCGGAAAGAGTTCAAGGTCAATATTTGAGCAAATTGTGGCTCTTGATTGGATTGTTTCCCTTTTAAATGGAAACGGTACCAGAGAGGATTCTATTATTCCCGGAGTAAGCATAGGTAATAGAAAATTTATTCCTTATATATGTAATGTTAAGTCTTAATGTTTGCTATTAAAAAGAAAGGTCTTTAACTTGTAGAATATATTTCAAAGTGAATACATCCTAAAAGATCAATAACAACAGTGGAATAAGCAAAACTTGCAGAGTTGATCTGTTCACGATGTAACATGTACAGTTACGTCACCTGACGGCCTGGCTTTTTGAGTTAAAATAGTAAAAAAAGTAGTTAGTTCAATTTAATTTCTGAGAGATTTAAAAAATATAATTAATCTTCAGCGATTGCTTCTATATAAAATAATGATATTGTGAAATGTTGTACATGTACACTGTACATAGAACAAATTTATCATTATCAAACATTTAAACATGTGAACGAGTACATTACGTGACAGAATAGTATTTTTATATCCCAGTTTACGACCGACATCAAACGACCTATATTCCTTTTCTTGTTTGCATGTATAACATTTCAGCTGTATATTTTTTTATACCCATGGTTAAAATATGCCAACATTTTTGCTGGGGTATATTCGGCTCTTAAAGTAGCATATGCGTCCAGATTCATGCTAATTTTTATGAATATGTTGATAATGAATTTAAAATTAAAATATTGTGAAGTGATCAAAGAAAGAAATCTACACGTTACAAATGGCACTTACAATCCACGTTAAGTACAAAAAGAGGTCAAACTATGCAAAAATAGCCTTTACTGTGATAGTCATGCCGTAGAAATTTGGTGACAATTACTTCAAATCAGTCACCAATCGCATATAACTTGTAAATTATATCTTAAATCTTGAATCGTTTGTACTTTTCTTTAAATCTTAGTACATTATCTTACGGTTGACATTCTTGAAATATTTTATCTCATCTGGAGGCATGCAGCTTTAACATAAAATTTAAGTTTCTGATCAATTTAGAACTAGTGTAGTACAATTATCATCATGACTTCGTGCTTTTCAAAGGTTATTTTACATTATTTCACATGTAAAGATATTCTTAAATAAGCAAAATAAATAGATTGCACAATACAGATTGCACTTGCACTTCTTAGGGGTAAATTCGTTATATTTAGATAAGTCTTTACCGCACTCTTATAGAATGAAATACCTAAGTATACACTATAATGTTTGATTTATACAGTGTCGTTTTAGCATATTTCTGGGGCGGAAAATATAAAAAGTTCAAACACGAAAAAGACACAGTTTGTCACGTTTTTAGTGATTAAAGTTTAATAATATTTTATTGCTCTTTGAATACAATTTAAGAACATTATTTTCACATCACAACATTTTTGTGATTTTGACCTGTCGCCTTACAAGTGTGCAAGGAACGACAAGAGGAAGGCGTGAGCACCACATTTTGATATGTAGTTTCGCCGCATATATTTCGTGTCGTCGCGTTTTCGTGCTAATAAGGCGAACAATTATTATATTAACATATATTTTGCCAATGTTTCTATTTTTTCATGTAATTCATTAAAAAACTGGCTATAAATTTGCTCAAATGGAAGGTGCTTGATGCAAATAGAAAACAACTTTAACAATTTTTAATGAAAAATAATAAGTATTAGTGTAAATTTATATGGCATTTTTTAAATATTTTGGCGGCCTTAAAGGACGCCATCTTGGATTTCTCGGACCGCATCATGATTTTTAGACAATCACTTTTGATATTATTACAATCCAGTTATTTCTCTTACATATTCTATAAAAATTATTAGGGGACCTGTCGTGCCCTCAGATACTATAGTATATATCACTGTTTGCCTTCATTTCGTTTCGTTTCCCTTAGTATCTTCCCCTTTTTTAGTTTCTCTTTTCGCCTTCAGAGACAATATTCATGTACGATACGGTATAAAACAGTGTTAGTGTCCAGCTTTATTTTTCATCCAATGAAAACGCTGTATTTCTTAAAATTTATGTGTGTTAATTTTCATAGAAGAAAAAAAGTCGATACTATATTGAAATCCGTTCATAGTCGCCTTCTATTTTTCATAGTGCTTCATAGTACCGCGTAGTGACGTAATCAAGGGCCAAATGAAGCTTGATACTAAATATGTTAAGTGTTCACCCTTAGCTGTTCTACAGAAATTAGAAACATTCTCCTGTCGCTATCGCTCCCGTCGAAGTTTCTAATTTCTGTAGAACAGCACGGATGAACACTAACATATACAAAGAAGTTATATGTATATAACTATGTTTATGTTAGTGTTCATCCGTGGTGTTCTACAGAAATTAGAAATTTCGACGGGAGCGAAAGCGACAGGAGAATGTTTCTTATTTCTGTAGAACAGCTAACATATTTAGTGTCAAACTTTATTTGACCTCATAATCACTCACTTTATTACGTCACTATGCCGTTCTATGAAGTACTATGAAAAATAGAAGTCGACTATGAACGGAATTCGATATAGTATCGACTTCTGTTCTTCTAACATCATTTTTAAGAAATACAGCGTTTTCATTGGATGACAAATAAAGTTGGACACTAAATAAAGAAAAAAATCAGCTATGATCAACAAGGGTTGGAGGGTACTAAATGCGGCATGTTCTTTTATGTAAAACATGTCAACTTGAAATAAATACAATATCCGAATCACAAACGGTGTTTGTTTATGGCGAAGTTCTCACATTAACAAGTTCAGATAATTCAAACAGTCTTTAAATAAATAAATACAGTTTCAAAATAAATACAGTAAGTTTAGACCTTTTATTTGAGCACATTTATTGTACATTTGTTTGTTCGTTTATTTATTTAACTACAATTTTTTTTTGCGAAATGGCAAAAGTGGGATACAGTAATAATGTATTATTAAGGTAGAACGCGACACTAATCTTTGCGAACTTTCGAGTAGCGCCTTGAAAATTGGCATGCGAAAAGTTGACCATATTTCTGATTAGGTTCCGTTGATTTTATTTCAATAGCTTCAGCCAATTTTTGTACACACGGCGTCAAAAATGACCATCAAAGTCCGTTTTTGAACATGACGTCGTTGCGTATTCTTGGCAACTATTACGGGTATTTCAACGCCTTGGCGGACAAAATATCTTAAATCCTGCAGCATCCGACGTTAATTATTTTTTCCTTTAAGCTGATATAAAATTTATCGTTTTACGCCGAAAAATGTTTGAAAAATGGAAAGAAAATTAAGTTTAGCCGCATTTTTTAGCTTTAAATGCTAAAAGTTCTACCTTAACACCATTTTTTTTACTCCATCGTTATATTCAAAACTATATAGAGGATATTCAAGTTTTTTCTATAAATACATGATTTATTTTCATCGAGTGGTATGAAAATAAATATTTCACGAGTGGCGGTAGCCACGAGTGAAATATGGTAATTTTCATGCCACAAGATGAAAATAAATCATGTATTTATAGAAAAAACTTGAATTTTCTGTTTATTATATACATTTTTCTCTTTTTTTGCGATAAAATTTGAAAGACTTTCCCTTAAATTTTGTGTACTGGCAGAATTTAAAAGAAAGTAGTCCGGCAAGACACCAGTGAAAATACGGAAAATATGTTTCACTGCAGTGAAAAATAAATTTTTACAGTGAAAATACGGAAAATGAAAATATGCATTTTATTTCATGAATATTTCTCAATATTTCATTTATAAGTATATAATAAATTATAATACTTCGTGACGTTTATATATTAATTTACAATACTGCACGTTTGTAACGTCGCTTTTCATTGGTTAATCGTGACGTTTATATAAATTTATATACACGGCTGCTGTCGATTTATGAAGAAATCTTACCTGTCCTCCACAAAATGATGCTTGCTGTATTATAAATTCGTTATAAAGATTGTTGACAGGTTATATGGCCTTATATAAATGGCTGTTTGCAATATAACCCTCGCTTAGCGGCTCGGGTTATATTTACAAACAACCGTTTATATAGGGCCATATAACCTGTCAACAATCTTTATAACTAATAGTATACACGGATGCTGTAAATTTTCTAAGAAATCTCATTTTTTCTTAAAAAAAGGGAAGTTTGCTGTATTATAAATTCGTTATAAATATTCCTGACAGGTTATACGACCGTATATAAAAGGTTGTTTGCAATATATCCCAAGCCTAGCGGCTCGGCTTCTATTTCCAAACAGCCGTTTATATAGTGCCATATAACCTGTCAGAATCATTTTAACTAATACTATACAAGTACAAATGTATAAGTATTTCAAAAAATGCTAGGAATTGCCGTTCTGCCGGGTATTCGACAATTTTCCTTTCGTGTGAAATAGACGCTTTTAAGAGAGAAATTTCATGTATTGTTTACCTTGTAGGAGCCTTCACACTGATTTTGAGCTTTAAACATGAAGATAGTATTTGAATTCTTTATATAGGTAACAGGACAAAATCATGGAGGATGACGCACCCCGTAGGCGCCCCTTATGAGGTCTTTTGTCGTCCATTTTGTTATCATGTGGTATTAAATTCTACGTTTTGATTGGCATGGAACAGGCGGTGTACGGGTTTTGTTAATCATATATGTTGCCAGCGACAATTATTAATGTTTCAACTTTTATTTTTTACTTCACCGACATAATTCTACAAACGTAAATGAACCCCTGTTCTTGTTTCTCATGCCGCGTCACGACAAAACCAACGTTATGCGTTTGCGACCAGCATGGATCCGGACCAGCGTGCGCATCCGCACAGTCTGATCAGGATCCATGCTGTTCGCTATCAGTTTCTCTTACTTGTAATAGAGTTGGTAAGCGAACAGCAGGCTGGTCTGGATCCATGCTGGTCGCAAACGCATAACGTTGTTTTTTTTTCATGACGCGGCTCAAATATGCAGAATGCAAAATACGATCGGTGTATGCTTTACAATTTTACATTAATGCGCAATGAAGTAAAAAATTACTTCCTTATACATTTACGGCGTAATATTATATAAAGCATTGATTCAAGGTCACGTATTTAACTTGTCAAATGATTGTAAATAGCAATAACTGCTTTATTATATTAATATATAGTGTCAATATTATGACGAGTCAATATGGAAGTAACGTGAATTATACAGTTGAATAAAAAAACATACAGAAAAACAACAACAACAGAAAAAAAAGAAACAAACAAACAAACAAAACAACAAGAAAACCACCCCTTTTAAGAAAAACAACAAAAATACCAATACAATTTTAAAAAAACAAACCAGCAAAACATGCGTATCAAGAATTAATACGTACATATTTGATCGAAATAAAAGCCATACGTAACATATACACTCATTTTAAGTAGTTTAATTATTTTTGTTTCCAGGCTACGATATTTATGATAACTGTGACAATGAAGATCTGACAACGGACCTTCTTTACTCCGGGAAGTTTGCCGACCAAGAGATGGACTGCAACTCCAGTGCTGATGACTCAGTTTATATAAGTATGTTTTACCATAATCTAAAACACGATGTCTTTGCCATGAACATTGTACATGTACAATGCCTTGCACTTTAAACCGGTTTCTAATCGTATTCATCCTAAATTTTCTGACAGGACTATAATTTTCTCATGAGATGTTTAAATGTGTCCAGGTCAACAAAGCCCTCGACATTTACTTTTGTAAAACAGTTCTAAAATTCCAGAAACTACTATAATTCGATTATCATCATCATCATCATCATCATCATCATCGTCACCATCATCATCATCATCATCATCATCAACAATAACAAAAACTACAACAACTACTACTACTGCTGCTGCTGCTACTGCTACTGCTACTGCTTCTATTACTACCAGTAGTAGTAGTAGTAGTAGTAGTAGCAGTAGTAGTAGTAGTCGCAGTCGTCGTTATTTCGATTTCGTTTAATTTTGACATTGTTTACTTCGATTTCGAAAAAATTAAGAGTTATATACGGTGACAGAATTTCGACATATACAGATTACCAAAATGTTATACATATGTGGATGCATGTTAGGGATTCAACGAATACGTCTGATTCGTATTCGCCTGAGATGTATACGGTATAAACGCGAATATTTACCAATGCAAATTTCTTAATACAGGTGCAATTTCCCTCACCACCCCTAGAGCAACGAACACTATGGCACGGTTACTTGATCCTCTTCCGGTTTTCCGCCCGCTCGTGTCATCGCCAACTCTAGAATCACGTGACCGCCGGAATCTCATACAGAGCGTCCCGTCCTTCAACCAAGAAGCAACGGTACGTAAAATATTTATAAAATAATATCAGTTATGGTGAAGCATTCTTTTGCACGCACCTTCCAATTTGTATATCCATGGGTCCTTGGCCAACTAGGTAAGGTCGTTGACTTCCAACCACTAGCCCTTACAGTTGTTGAATCGAAAGGGACTTTAGTTAGATTCTTTCATGTGAGGAACTATCCAGCTAAGTTATGGAATGTCAGTGGTTCTACTCATATGCCTGAAATAATGCATGGAAGGGCACCTGAGGTTTTCACCCATCATTGAAAGTCGCCATATGACCTGTACTGTATTTGTGCGACATAAAACACCAACCCCCCCCCCCCCAAAAAAAACAAAAAAAAAAAAAAAAAAAAAAAAAAAAACACCATGTCAATCGTAGGAAATTTAAAATTTACAAAACAGTTTACACTAATTGGAATTATCCCTGTCAATTGCCAATTTAATTTGGCCAAATCGCATGTGCATTAAAAGGCTGTCCTGATTTAATAAATGTTACTTATGTCATTATCACTCTTATTGTTGACAGCACTAAAAGGGTTGGATAATTAAACCATCACCACGCTAAACTATCTTAAATGATCTTGTCCATCTTTCAGCACATTTTTTCATATTTGAGGTGGTTGAATTAAAACCACTTGCCACTCACCGTTGTTGGTTTAAATCCCGCTAGGGACTTTGGATTCATTCATGTGAAAAGCCATCCTGCTAGCTTACAGAACGTCTGTGCCTATACTCATGTACCAGTTCGAGCCTAGATAATGCGCGTAGGGCACCTGAAGTTCTCCTCCATTTCTAGTAAAGCTGGAAAGTCGCCATATGATCTCTGCTGTGTTGGTGCGAAGTTAAGCCCATCTAAAAATAAATCATGTACAAGTAGCGAGCAGTACAAACCACTCACTGTTGTGCTGACTGATATTGGTCCGCACTGGTTACATAGGTGGAACTTTTAATCGCCAGCAGACTACGGTTTAAAGAAAGAAAGAGCACCGCTAGGCGGAGCATTATATGCCTGAAAGTAATTTATTTAGAAAGGATGAAGAATTTGTAAGACATGGGAATTAAATAATTTTACTACGACGGCTGGACAATATGACGTCAGGGATATAATATAAGCAAATTTTTAGGGCATATGATTAATGAACTTAATATAAGTGATCATCCTATGAAGTTTGACAGCTGTAAAACTTTGAACAATATTAAGGTCATTTTGAAATTAACCTTTGATCTTGTGACCCTAATATAGTAATTGATCTTTTATTCAATAAAGGCAATCATCCTGAACACTGTAAGCCAAATGGAACCTGTGTTATGCTCAATTTTCAGTGTTAAGGTCATTGTGACCCTGACCTTTGATCTTATGAGCCTTAGATCAATAGGGGTCATGTGTTGGACATGGCTGTTCATCCTATAAAACTTTACAGCTGTAGGTTGATGAATACTTAAATTATTGAGCGTTTTAAGGTAATAATGACCTTGACCTTGTGACCCAAAAATAGATAGGGGTCTTCTACTCAATATTAACAATCATCCTATGAAGTTTGAACACTTCGGGCCAAATGGAACTTAAGTTATGTTCCAGAAACCACAATTTTCAGTGTAAAGATCATTGTGACCCTGACCTTTGACTCCAAAATCAATATGGGTCTTCTACCCAATATGTACAATCGTCTAATGAAATTTGAATATTGTGGGCTAAATGGAACTTAAGTTATGCTCCGGAAACTGTTTTCAGTTTTAAGTTGATAGTGACCTTGACCTTTGACCTTGTGACCCAAAAATTAATAGGGATCTTTTAACCATCCTATGAAGTTTGAATATTGTGGGCCGAATGGAACTTTAGTTATGCTCCGGAAACCAAATTGATAACGGACGGTCGAACAGACAGACGAACAGACGGACGGACGGACGGACGGACGCCAGGGGGTATAGCATAATATGCCCGAAAAATTTTCGGGCATATAAAAAGCAGACGACATTGCCAATGTTATGTATTATGATTGTTATCATCTAACTTCACCTTCATTTAATTTTCAGGCTATAGTAAAAATGCTAACATGGATTGGGTGGAATTTTATCCTCGTTGTCCACACAGAAGATGCTACCGAAGAAGCAAAGACATTCTCGATAATCGCCAATGCCCATGACATCTGTATAAATGCTACCGGTGCACTTGATTCTAACACCGTGAAAAAAATATTTTCTACAATGAACATTGCATATAATAAATCATTAGCCATTGTTTACTTTGGAAACAATTCTGGTGCGGAATTTATCGTGAAGGAATCAACAAACTCAAGACCATACGGCTCAAAAATTCACTGGATTTTCACGTCGCAATTCGCACACAACATTGTCATTGAAAATCAAATAAAAAAATCAGAAGATTCAGCAACAATTATCCATCTACTAAATTATGCCAATTTAAACGAATACAAGACGTTCTTCAGTAATCTATCCTCTAATTCTCATCTTAAAAATTTGATACAGAAATACCACTTTACCTTGGATAATTCAGCACCGAATAGTAACCCGTACCCTATGGTTGACGCCGTCTCGTCAGCAATAGATTCTGTAAAGCGAATATGGAATGATACAGTGTGCGCCGGACATAGTACTACTGTTGCTGAATGTAGTTCATTTAAAGATGGCATAAAAAATGAACTCGTAAATAGGATACGATTAGGTGGATATTACCCATCAAGTTTCAAATATCTCCCTGACAGAGGTGTTAGTGTCAACATTTGGTATTTGCACGGTAGCCAAGTTTATTCCACACTTCACTTCAAAATGTACACCTCTGTAAAAGTAAGTTTAGTAGATTTTGTCTTTTTTTCTTTCACCTCTGCAGAGTAGTGGCGACATATAGGTATCTCTTCTCCGTCGGCGGTCTGTCTGTTCGTCTGTCTGTCCGTCACAAAACTTATCCAGACTATTTTCCGGTTGAATGATTTTTGTTATGGCCCTTTAATGAATTTTATGTTAAAAGTTTGTGACTAATCCTGTTATACCACTGATGAAATTTCAATAAAACTTTACTGGATTGATTGTTTTTTCAAGTACTAGCGCAAATAACATGGGTTTTCCGGTTGAATGTTTTTGGCCGAGTTATCGCCCTTCAATTAAAAGGTTGTTTTGTGTGTTGCCAGCTTTAAATAGCTTGTCCGGACCACTCTTCAGAAACTAATGATGCAAACTAATGGTGCAATTTCACCCAAAAATTACAGGAATGAACAGTACCAAATCTAGTTGTGCATAATATCAGCAATATTGGTTGAATGATTTTTTAATGCCAGAGTTATGGTCATTTTATATTTTTTTCTAAAGTTTGTCCGGACTACTTCACTAATACCACTTATGATGTTTCAGTAATAAAGTTTGTCCGGACAACTCCTCTTATACCACTTATGCAATTTCAGTGAAATTTTTCAGAAATGATTCGTAGCTCAAGTTCTTGCACATATTACACACTTTTTCCGGCTGTGTGATTTTTTTTGTGTTACCAGGTACTCAGAATCTTGTCTGGACTACTTTTCAAAACCTTTTGGTGCAATTTCATTCAAAATTTACAAAAATTATCAATACCAAGTCTGTTTGGGTCGTCAGACCAAACAAATAATGGTAGCGAAATTTCAGACCCTGATGCTGTTAATTGCAAATGCCGAAAGTAGTCGGCTTTTTTGAAGCGGTTACTTCCCTTTATATGTACACTTACGCCGAAAAATTCAGGGGAGATCACTGCGTAAAGGTGGTCAAATGACAGGCGCATTAAATTTCAAGCATAATAGATCCAGAATGGTCGAGGATTTCTAATATTGTTTTATTCTTTATAGATATACATGCTTATAGAACGCTCCATGATTATTTACATCTGTGTTAAACATTTAACGGTTACAAATCCTAATTTAGAATAATACGGTTTTCTTCAAGTCGTTAACTTATAACTTCACCGTGGCCGAGGGATTTGCGCGCTCGCTTAGCAAGCGAGTGATCTGGAGTTCAAATCCGAATTAAGGCAACTCATTTTTTTCAAATTGTTTAAGTCAAATAAACATTGAATTGAATATCAGTGTTGCAATGAGTCTTATAGCCAATTTACTACAATAATAACGATGAGAAGCATTGGTGACACTATACAAAAACAAATTGGTTTATAATCTCACAACCTTCACCTTTCTGACATTCTGAGACTCAAATAAATTCAGCGCCTTCTGTGCTTTGATTTGTCAGAGTTATGGTCCTTTTTCTTAAATTGTCTTTTATTCTGTTTGACTACTCCTCTTATATCACTTATGTACATGTATTTTCAATGAAATTTTACAGGTTTAACATGTAGCTGGATTGATTTGTAGCTCAAGTACTGGCACATATTACACAGGTGTTCCGCTTAAATGATTTGTCATCGAGTTATGGTACTTGAATAAAAATAAAATGTGTTTTGCCCTGTTAAATGATTTCGTGTGATCTGCCACAGACACTTGGGGTTTGGAGCTCAAATATATATATATTATATATTCAGTATTTAATTTATGCAGAAGTGATTTAGTTTGATAAAATCCAAATTCAGTAACTAGTTTTGCTGCAAGGCGTTATATAAATGCTTTTATCAAACCTTTGATAATAAGTATATTAAATTTAGACTACCTAAATTGTGCCTTATGATAATTTTTCATTCGTCAGTAATTTCGTCTTTGCTCCATATTGTTAAATGTTTGTTTGTAAAAACTGTTATACTTTAAAGAACTATTGTTCTATTTTTAGGACCAAATTATAGGTTTTGTTCAAGACAAACGGTTTTATCCTATTGTTAATCTGTTGGATACATCCGCGTGCAACACAAAATGCCCGGAATGTCTACGTCAGATTGACCTAAGATACTCCTATCTCCACGGCGACTATCTTATTCTTGGTCTCTTCTCCCTGAGACAATATGGCGGATCGCCTTTTTCATGTGGAGCTATTCGTCGTGGAACAAACGACGTTATCACCGTTTCGTCATTCTTTTATTCGGTTCTCGAGCGAAGAAAAGCGACCGGGATTAATTTCGGTGCCATAGCGATTGACGATTGTTATAATGGTCTAAATACTACTAATTATCTTGCAAAACTATTTAGCAAACAAGCCATACTCAAAGATCCATTCGATTCGGATAGAGTCATCAACTTCGACACTGTGATTTCATTAGTAGGAGCGTTATCAAGTTCTGTGTCGTTGATCGTTGCAGATTTGACGACGTCCGTTGGTATTCCAATGATATCTTATAGCGCGTCTTCTCCAGATTTAGACAATAAAAGACGCTACCCTTTTTTTCTGCGTACTGTTCCAAGTGACACACTTCAAGTTCAGGGTATGATATCAATGCTTGAAAGACTAGCTGTCACTCATGTCGGACTTGTATACATTGACGATGCGTATGGTCAAGGTGGGAAGATACAGCTCCTTGAAGAAATGTCCAACCGGAATATTTGTGTTCAAAACCCAATAAGTGTAAGACAGAACATGCCTAAAGATTACATAAGAGATAATGTCATAAACAAATTGTACAACCAACAAGTACGAGTCGTGCTTTTATTTATAATCGACAGCGTTGCTCAACAAATCTTGGACGTTGTGAATGACTTTATACAAAAAATGTTCCCACCTTTCGTTTTTATTTCGAGTGAAGGTTGGGGCTCTAATCTCAACCTCCTCACTAGAACTAGTCTAGGATCGGTTGTCTTTAACATAGCTGCTCAGTCATATACCACTGGTTCGTACCGCGCTTACCTCAAAAGTCTTGGTCCATGGCAAAATCAAGACAACCGATGGCTACCACGCTTCTTTGAAGGCTATAATCGTTGCGACAGTCTAACTTCCTTCGAAAAGACGTTCATTCAGGGAAATGAGGCAAAGATCTGCGGACATGGTTACAAAAGTACACTTGACACAAACACAACTGAAAGTCTCGCGAAAGATCAGAGATACTTTCACACGATGCTCTCGGTATACGCTGTTACCAATGGTTATCAGAAGTTTTGCCATGAAGAAACTTGCTCCCCATTGGCTGTTAGAGGAAGACCCAGCACGTTTTTCACGCACATCAAATCAACAAAATATGGTGATAACATTCCTATTTTTGATGAGGATGGGAATGGTCATATTGGTTTTACAATACACAACATACAGCTCAACAGGACAAGTGGAATCTACTATTATAAAAGGGTATATCCTCTATTTTGTATCGACAAAAAAACCCAGCCATTGGTCTTCTTCATTTGCTTAGACGATCCGCATTTGTTTTTATTCAATGCTAGTTTCTCAAATTATGAGATATGACAGCTAATTCTTAAAATTTAGTTTACTATAGTGCCATGGCAAAATATTTTCAACTAAAACTTCCACAAGTCTCAATAAATAGACATTTGATCATGTGTTAATTCCTAAGTCAATATTGCTAACCTTTTTTTTTATCAAACTGTCATTTTTATGGATGTAACATTTGTTTAATCAGATTGTTGCCTTCATTTTTTCCAGATTGGACACTACCAGAAGAACGGAAAGTTAGATTTGGAACTGGAACCAAAGTTTTACGATGACGTGCAGAATGAGGCAACATTAAAGGACCAGTATAAAACCGGACTAGATTGTAGATATATTTCTGCTTGTTCAGAAGTATGCCCGTTACCAGATATATCAAAATCGACAACAGAAAAGCCTGTGATAGAAACAACAACTTCATCTGATAAAAATGACAGGTAATTGTAAATAATATCATAGATAACTATTGAACCATTTCAATATGGGAGTTAGTTACACAAAGGGTAAACTATATATTACTATATAGCCACCAGGAGAGTTGTATAGGTTTTGTCAAACCTAAATGTATTCCGTTTTGTACAGAACAACGTTGAATACCGTTTATCATCTTTCCAAGATATATCGACGAAACCCAAAATTTAACTTACAAAATACTCTTCGCCTTTTGAAAAATGCTTTATACATGTCATGTTTTCAATTTTCTTTCGGATACTTTTGTCGTTAACGGCTTTTATCCTTGACCGGAAACGGAAATGGGCAAACAAACTCGATCATCTTAGACTGGGCAACATATACTTGACACATAATGGACTTTTATTAGATTGTTTACTGCTTCATTGTCAGTTTTGAGAATCAATTTAATGTAAAGACAAAGAAGCAACATAACTAGCTTATAATGTTTAATAACAACTTTCAAGTTTAAATGAAACAAATAAGCCTTCTCAATTATCAAGGCAATTGAGGACTTCATCCACCGGTAAAGATATAACGTGTGACTTAAACCCTCCCCAATTAACCAACAAGTAAAATGGTTTCCTGCGGTGAACATTTTAATGATATAAAGATATTTCATTTAACTATTTTCAACATTATTTGGGGGTGGGGGATAAATAAACGTTTGTATCAGGAATATAGTTGACAATTGAATAAACGATCAATATAGAAGAAGGTCTTTGGAAACTGGTGACCGTTGAAGACCGGAGAAGGTCGAACATAAAACAATTATTTCTTTTTAAGAAAATGATTAAATAGGCCTACCATTTTATGAATAATTCCGAGCAAAAAATAAATAAAGTAAACACACAAGTTTACGCAGAAAATATCTCTATTTATTATGGCAGATGCCACTACGAATATTTTAATTTTGTAGATTTTCAGTATAAACAATTTATTGTTTGTAAAATTTGAGATAGATATTAAAGAAACATTGATAATTTTCAAACACATCATTCAAGTTTTTCTACCTTAAACGGTAAAATAATTATAGAAAATTAGAAATATCACCCAATAGTTTTTTGTTCTTAATTATGTGTAATTTGGACTAATTCCCTAGAGGTAAATCCGTAACGTACCGGCAAACGTTATTTAGCTAGGTTTTCGAAAAGGTCAATTAACCAACCATGTACGGTTTACAGATCACATGCTCCTCCATGTACCGAAAACAGGTCACGTGCTCCTCCATGCCTCAAAAGTTAAACGCGTACCAATACCCTGCGGTCTCCAGACCGCAGGGAATAAGTATACAAGAATGTGATTTTTAGACAATCTAGATCTAAGATATATATGAGAATAAGACTAACATCATTTCAACTATTTTAAAAGATAATATTTTCACCTGTTTTGCACGGTTTTCTTTTTGTTGCTTTGTTTCAGTTCTTTGATGACAATGACAATACTGTTTGGGGTATTTATGGCAATACTTCTGGTTGCATTGATATTTGTTGTGGTCATACTTGTCAGGATATTAAGCCGACAAACCAAGCAACTGTCGGACAAAGGCGATTCAGCAGGACATACTGTTTCAAGTAAGATTTACTAAATATTACAACTAAAGCAACAAAATATATTATATTATATTTTTCTAAAGTTGACCTGAACAATAACGATTTTGAACTCATGCTATAAAATATCGGCTTCTTTTGAACGCCATTTTATACTGTAGACCAAAATTGAAATGATTTATACATTCGCCATGTTTTGTTTTTAAATCGGGATGTTCAGAATTATGTGAAACATAAATGGTGGACGGGATATTGGGAAATGTTCGGATCACCTCAATGATAAGTTGATCACCTCTAATTCATTCATGTCTATTTAACTGTACAAAATACCTGCATTTACTTATTGCATGTATCTACGAAGTCCAGGAAAGATCTGGTTTATATATTGAAAAATTAATGCTTGTAATAAATCCCTTCCGCGTCATAGTTACATCTAATTTCATATAAACTGTAATAAATGACATGAATTTTTCAGTGTCTGACAATTGTTCAGTGTACGATGAGCCAGGGTCAGTGAGGAGGAAAGGTCAGTTTGATAATATTGCATTTATGGTTGATTCGGCAAGTCTTCATAGTGGACAGCATACACCTTCTACAATGATGCGATTAAACGGGAGTATATCATCTCTTAATGCACAGCAACCCGTACAATATGCCCATATCCGGCAGAGGTCGAACCCAGATATCAGTGTACACCATGTACGACAAGTGTCAAACCAAGAACTTAGAAATCAGTGGTTTGGTTCCCTTGAAAGACCTATGTCAACATTATCAGCGCCTGCTTACAAGCCACAATCCCACCAAAAGAGTCCATTTAATAAACGAAATTTACATAACACAGGCGCGAGGCAAAAACCATACAAACAGACGTATTCTCCTAAAACTCCCCACTCCGCGCCTACTGGATTTGGACAGCAGAGAACACCACAGGTTTATCGACCACGAGCTCAGTCATCGCCAAGATTTAGATATCCAAGCTCAAGTGGGGAGGAGTCACACTACGCCACGCCCAAAATAGACAGCACTGAGGAGATATTTCCGCAGAGAAAAATGGGCGTGAGTGATGATAATATTCACGAACACTTTGATGACAACGATAGCGTATCAGATGGGCCAAATATGTGTAACGTTGATAGTTATCTATACCCTCAAAGTGGTTCAGACAGTGGTGTCCAAAACCAGTCTGAACCGGAACAAAAAATAACGTACATAACAGCAAAAGATTTAATTACGTGTGAAAGTGAGGACGAAGAAGCGTGTTCGTCTGATAGTGCGATACAATATGTTTTACCCGAATCTCAACATTCATCAGTGCTTCTAAAATCGAATACTCCTCCAAAGAAACCAAGTTCTCAGAGTATAACTTCACCAACAGACAATGAAGTTAAAGAAATAAACTTCCCGCCATCAGATAAAACTTTTCGAAGGATCCAATCAAATGATCCGCTTGATGGAGACAAATCATTGTCACAAAATGCTCAGAATCGAACGCCGCTTCAAAACATTCAAGCGTCTACAGATTCAGAACAGAATCATGCTGTCGTGTATCATAAGAACACTTCCAGGAATTCTATAACAGACGTTCCTGACGTCATAAAACATGGCGCTTACGAAGAAGACGGTGTTTTTATAATTTAAAGCATTTACTGCACTAAATAGTGTTCAAAACGCGCCCATCACAATTTAATAATGGCTTATGGTTCATCAATAAACTGTTAATTGTTAATTCAGTCTACAGCAACTTGACATTTAATACTTTCCCGTTTAAGCCAACGTATCATACTAGCTTTGTGTAAATAGCCAAAACATATAATTTCAACCAATAACTAGATAAGTGTTTTTAAAGGGACTTCACTGAGGTTTTTTGACATAACGGCATTTGAATTTTTTTTCGAGATTTAATGTTCTATCTGATGTACGTTTAGACCAATAACTTGTATACAAAATTTCAGATCATTTGCTCACTCCGTTTTTCCAGAATAATTATTCTTACTATGACAAATGACCCAAAATTGAAAAACGTTGCAACGTTTTTCCCTCAAAACGGACAAAGAAGAGCACTAAAGTGCGATTTTCATTTCATTTCTGAACATTTTTCTTTATTATCATATGATTATCCTTCTGCTTAATGAGCCCCATCTGATCTGTGTAAGAAATTCAAATTTTATTTTTTAGACTTCAGTGGGGTTCCTTAAAGATATCATTGAAATGTCGAGCGTCTGCGCCGGTACATACAATTTACGCTGACTTACAAACACTAACCTATACATAATGGTCATTTGCTGTTTTGTTGTATGCTAGTATGTAATTCTCATTTCCATATTGCAAAATATTTGCCCCGAGGAAAACAAAATAATTTTGATTTCTGTTTTGTAACTGTAAAGATGTACATAGCCATAATTAACCGCTCTAACCGAATCTCTGCTACAACTAACATTTTTTTGTTTTAATTTTTTACGAAAGTAATAATCACTTTTCTACTATTTTTTAATCAATGCATCAATTAACACATATCTCTTATTGTATTAAATATGTGTCTAAATGTATCTGACAATTGTTGTTGTTTTTTGTGTTTTTGCATAGGTTTTACTAGGGTGTGAGCACGTGCCTATAAATAAGGTGCAAATCATCACCTGCTATGAATACAGCAACAAGTCATGTATATGATTTCTTATTGTTGGCAGACAACTAATTGGCCGTTTAGTCAACAGAGGGGCGTCCGTGGTCGAATATTTATGGTCATTGTCTTCAAACCACTTGGCTTTTACCACTGTAGGTTCGAATCCCGCATGTGAGGAAGCTATCCAGCTAGCTTACGGAACGTTGGTGGTTCTACTCAACAGTGCCCCCTAGCAGCACATGACCTGTACAGTGTTAGTGCGACGTAAAAGCCAACAAAAAAGGAAATAAAAGATATAGTCAATATCACTAATTTCACGTGTCCTCACTAAAGCCACGGTAATGACATATTTACGTGTGACCATTGTTGATATTATACTACACAACAGGCGGAGTACAGCTGGGAGTGCATACCATTGCCATTTAGATATAGTTCTTTAACTCTACTACAGAAAAATATTGAATTAACTATTTGTCAGCCACGAAGTTATTGACAACTGACACAGTGCATCTCTCCAGTTTATACGAAATTACTTCCCTTGTTTCACAAGAAACAATTTCATGTGTTGAAGTTGAACAAAGCTAGCTTCAAGTCTTCAGCGTACCCGTTTTTATAATGTGATAGGACGGGCAATTTCCTGCCGCATCAGATGAAAGAAAAAAAAATGTTGAAAAGCGGCTTATAAAGTTTTGGAAGCCAAAACTATGTAACAAAGCGATTTTTGTTTTTCTGAAATAAAAGAAACTTGACATAAGCAAGGATATTCAATAAGAGACTTAACAGGCGATATAAGATAAACTCCAAATTTATTTCATTTATTAAAATATATAACGTTTATTAAACAAAAACATTGAACTGTCAACAATAGCACTGGTACCAATTTACTAATATATTAACAAGTTATAAATGATATATTTACATGGTGATGATAACAAATCAAATAAATAACTTTAAAACATAAACTATCGATTTTATATAGACAATTTATACTCATTATAAATGCAAAATAATGAATTAAAACATCATCAAATGATCATGTTCGGATATTTTTAAGTACATAAAATATTTACAGAAAATGCACTGAGATAATACGTTGTATTATAAAACATGTATCTAATAAAAATTGAAAGGGAAAATCCTCCAAGAGCACTAAAAAGTAAATAGGTGAAAATCGTTCACTTGTTGTTTTTTTTCGAAAGATAATGAATGTTTAATCATCTCTCACGCCCCCTAGCACCGACTTAAGCGACATTCACTTTGATTTTTGGAATAAATTATAATGAATACTTATAGAAGACCAGAAAATAATACTGAAGATCAGAACCGACAATAACGGATAGGGCGACTTTTATACCCGCAACACAATTATAATGTTCTTCTGTCAAAAATACTTTTAAAGGAACTCAACTGAGGAAGGGGTTTTATTTTTTGACATGACTACAGACTGGAAATTTTTTCCGAGATTTGTTCTTGGCCTTGACCAGTAACTTGTGTGCAAATTTTCGGGTCATTCCAACATTTTGTTTTCCCAGAATAATCATTTTAAATTGCGCAAAATGGCCAACGATTTCCACTCAAATCGGAATAAGAATCGTTCAAAACACCGATATTTTCTGAGCATATTTCTATAATTACTTTTGCAGATTTCCCACTTTAATTAAGCGCATTACTTGATCTATGTAAGAATTTTGATCTATACAGTGATTTTATGGATGTATTAAATAACGCTTTAATCTCATTAAAGTAAAGCACCCTCTCTTAAATCCCCCTCTCCAGCTCATCTCTCCCCCAACCTACTCTTATGTTTAAATGAAGATATCGTTATTGCGTAAATGTATTGCATTTCAACTTTAAGGCAACACAATTTGCAATAAACCATTGAAAACTCGAGGTGAATGATCTCACTTTAAATCCAATAAGCCTCCATAGATCAAGAACAAATTTTCTATAGAAGTGCCAGATACGGAAAGTGGCGAAATAAACCGAACTCGTACGACTTGTTGCCCGATGGAATACGTTAAAATGAGACTTTGAACGACCTCAATTCCATTTCTGCCGGTCGTAGATTATCATCTAAGTTTATTTTCTTAATGTCATTCAGATGTGTTAACGAAGTTTCTTTTGCACTATTTATCATAAAGCTTCGAAACAAATGTTTTAGGGTGACTTCATCACCTCTATTACTACACAACGAGGTTTCTTTTAGACTATTCAGAGTTGGCGTGTAATGTAAAACTAAACTGGTCCCATTATATGATAAATCTGACTTTGACAGAGTGCGCATGCCCACGACAGATACACCACAAGGTAACGAGTTTTCTAAACTTGTAAAAGACAATACGTCTTCGTTTAAATTAAATTCTCTTAACTTTTTTCCTTCTTCGACAAAAAGACTATACGTAGGTTCGTTTAAAAGTTCATTCATTAAAATATTAGTTTCAGATGGGTAAGTGTATTTAAGTTCTTTTGGCATTTCCTGGTTTTCTTTCCGGGTCTCTACTTGAAGTATAAAGTTAGCAACAGTTAAGGTATTGTCTAATACACCTTGTCCTAATCCTTTATCATCATCTCGTGCTACCCTTCTATCCAGCATAACTTCCATCCATCCATTTTCAAGACTAGCAGCACCGTGTGGTTGAGCAGTATGAAGAGTCAACCGCTTGTCCTGGTCTTCTATGACAACCATTGACGTGATTGGATAATAGTTCTCTTCTGTGTGTTCTGCGCGTGTTTTCCTTCCAATTAATTGGAAACTGTTTTGGTCTGTGAAAAATATGTTTTCATTATTAATACTCGTTTTAAACCTTAAGATAAGTTCTTTGTTAAAATTGGCCTTCTCCTTTGTCATGTCAAATTCTGCGGTTAAATGAACGCCCATACCTTTTACACCAGTTACGTTGTACACTCTTGTAGTAAGTGTAAAACTTCTGTATATACTTTTAATTTCAGATATATAAGTACCCTTGTTGACAACAATTTCCGGTTTACCGGATATAAACGGGTTTGCGGCACCCTTTGGGGCAAATATATACGCACCACTCCGCAATGAGTCGTAGGCTAGCACTTCTGTAAGCACGTCTATTTCAGACTTATCATCGTTTTTCATTTTTAGTTTTCTTGGAAAACCAGATTTTTCATCTATTTCAACATATAAATAAGCATTCTCAAGCACAAAGATATCTGTATCGTTTCTCTGTTGGTCGCTCTGTGTTTCTTTTTGTTCTAGAACATCTTCTTCTACGTCAGTTTCGCTCATGTTTTTCTTCGTTTTAAATGATTCAACACGAAATGTTTGTAAACTGTACGGTGGTAGATCAACAACGAAAGAGAAACGGGTAGTGTTGTCCTTATCTAAACTTTGCGTTTGAAAATCAAGAGGACCTTCCGCAGACGATATGAAGGTATATTTGTTTCTCGCAACCGCTGTAAAACTGATGACGTCAGTGCGTTTCCGTGCTGAAGGATTTGTCACTACTAAAAACGAACCACCGGCCTTGAAATTAACGGACATGTCCATCACTACATCTCTAGGTATTGAAGTCATGGACATTCGCTGAACTGTGTTTTTAAAAACTTCTAGTCCGTTGACATGTCCAAACGTTAGTAACTGTGAAATGATTAATTTTATGGCACTCTCGGTTTTTCTAAGCGCTACATATATTTTCTTTCGGAAGTCATTAATAACTGGAGTGACAGATGTGCCTGTTATACCATCGTGATGAAGAAACATCCCTAAGTCACGTCTTGCAGCACGTAGAAGTGACGTCACTTCTGCATATGATGTGTATGCTATAACATTTTCACTTGACTCTGCTTGCGCATGCGCATATGCGTGGAATATGTCAGCCATTTTCAAAGAACTTTGCAATTCTCTCGACAGTTGTTTTATAAATGGACGTGTACTGTAATATCCAGTCCAAAAATCCTTTTGATAATCAGTGTAGGGCATAAAATCTCCGGAAAGTGACGGAAATCGACTTCCGTCTTTGGCTGTTCTTTTTTCCTGATTATGTTTGATCTTATTGAAATATTCTCCGATTGTGCCAAATTTTAGCTGAATATTCCACTCTTTTTTTGAATTCATGTAATCAAAAAGTTTCTTATAATTTTTATAAATGAGGTCGTAATCGTTGCCACTAACATACGAGAAATCTTCGCCAAGGAAAATAGGTAGATAAAGATTTTGTGAAACACTTTCGCCGTTTGCATTAAGATTATCTCTTCTGTAGAGTTCGGCTGTTATTCTATATTGTTCATACAAAATTCGCGCTCTCTCTGCCAAATTGTCGTCTGTAACGAAGACAACTTTGTCTCTTGGATTAGTATGCATGAATGCGTATTCTCGGCATATATGTTGATTATACGGACCACATGTGTCGCCAATCCAATAGCCTCGGTATGGCATTAGATGACAAAGAATATCGTTTGTTGAATTTTTACTCCACAATGGCTTCCACGTGAATTCCAACGCCTGCTTCTTCATTAACGTTCCTTTCATTGCTTGATTAATACGAAGAATAACCATGTTCTCCATACCGGATTTCTTCCATAAATAAGGAAATGTGCTCGAATAACCGAAAGGGTCGTTTGCCCAATTATTTTCTGGTTTTACGCCGAGATTTTCCCAAAGCCATTGATGACCTTCAATAAGTTGATCAATTACTGGGGCAAAATGTGTTACTGCTTCATCAGGCATGACCCATCCTCCGGATAAAATCTCAAAGCGTCCATCTTGAATCAGTTCGCGCACGTTTTGCTTCGTTGTCTCAGATATATCCCTCCACCATCTTTCTAGAAAAATCGTTTCCGCCCATTGAAACGTCAAATCTGGATACTGATTTAGCTTTTTAACCATGTTATCAAGTGTGTGTTTTGACATTCTTTGATAGTAACTCTCAAGTGTCAGTCCATAGCCAGGGTCTACATGCGAAAATGGGATAAGAAATACTTCAAGCGGGTCTAAATTCTGTCTGTATGCAACGTCTATATCTTTGACGGGAATTACGTATTCTTTGAAACGTTTACCACTGACGTAATCGTAACGTGTGACGTCAGGTAGATCATAGGTATATATATCAGCATGATGTGAGGCATTGAATGCTGGAATTTGAAATGTAATTGTAACATCGTGCTTTGTAACTGGTTTCTGTAAATTCGTAACGTACACGTTTCCATCTAGATTATTTGTAAAGAGGGAAAGTTGAACCACCCGGAAGAAGAAAAAGATGGTGAAGAACTGGATAAGCGTAAGTAAACACCGTCTTCGATATAGAAATCGACGTATTGACATTCTGAGCTTATTCGGATGAAATCGTTTTTTGTTCTTGCTAATTGTCAGTGTACCTGAAATAATAAAATATAGTCGTTAAATATTTCATTATTTGTACAAAGTGTTATCACATATTTTGAACTGTACAATTTTTATTGCTTTCAAATCAGAAGTTTTGGAACAAATATGAGATGTTCGTTGTACCGCATGTTTGCAGCGCCAGTTTTCATTAGTCAACTGTGCCATTTATGTACTTTTTATAATACTACACATTTGTACATCGCTATTCATTGGATAACTATGTCATTAATGTATTTATATACACGGATACTGCAAATTTATGAATTTATCTTAAACTCATGGAACAAAACGATTATCATAAATTCGTGATAAAAACTTTGACAAGTTATATGACATTGTACAAAAATGTTTTGTTTTTTTTTGCTATATAACCATTGTCTTGCGGCTTAGGTCATATAGCCTACAACCGTTTATACAGGCCATATAACCTGCCAAATTCATAAAACGACAAAATTGTAATTAACGTTGAAAATAATTTCCACCGCGCAGTATATGAATAATAGAAATGACATGACTGTTCATTGAAAATGACGTACAAACGTGCAGTATCATAATGGGTTTGAATTTTTCGGCCCTTTCAGTCTATGCGAAAGTCAATTTTCAGGCCACAAGGACCGAGACCCTTAGGTTTATTTCCGGCCCGGATGATATTTTTACGGCCCAGACATTTCAAGCATTATTTTATATTAACACGATTGAATGCAAAAATGATTGTCTTTCTTTAAATTAGTGAGACCATCCATATAGAAACATAAGAAGATGCTGACCAATTGAAATAACTTAAGCAGGGTGCTCACTAGGATTTTCAAAGGAGGAGTTCTTGGACTCCCAAGCACAGGAAAGTAGGAGCACAGAGCACTTTGAATATGTTAAGCCATCTTTACTGCACTTATGCAGTTGACGAATATGATGTATATTAGTGGAGTAAGCTAGGTTTTGAAAAGTTGGAGTTTGAACAGAGAAAAAGCTTATTCAGGAAAATGGTAGTATGTCCCAAATGAAATACACTGTACCGTAAAAGTGATTGAAAAGATTTGAAATATAATTTCAAAAACCCTACATCATTAGACGATTATGCTGTTTTCTTCCAGATTCACTCCACACACCCTCCTCCCATAAGAAAATATTCATTGTATGTGACAGACACATACTGGTTAAATACCTCCATCTCAACTAATGTGAACAATATCTTTAGTAATTTTAATTCTTAAACTACATTTAAGTGTTATTACACACATTTTAACAAAGTTTCCTTTTGGTTACGATTTTTTTAATTATAAAAAGCGGCATCGCGAAAATATGTGACAACTGAAAATGTGTCTGTTTCCTGCAGAAACATTCACAATTCTACTTGTTGTTGATTTTGATTATATTAGATTAAATATTTTTTGATTATTTTAAGATTGTTACTAATCGGCTATTTCAACAAGCATCATAAAACAAAATTTTCAAATCTGTAATTTACGGCAAAATTTACCGTTGTTGATGAAACTTTTTGAAGACAGAGTTGACTGGTATTTATTTGACATGTACAAAATAGATCTAAGGTTGGTCAATATCTTCTTTAATAAATTCTTTGCATCACCGGGAACTTGTTATCAATCAGGTCATTGATATTTTTAACTTTTTGAAATTTTATTCGGACATGAGGACTGACGGAAAGGAATTTTTCTCGGACCGCACGAGTTTTATTCAGCCAGGACCGAGGACCGACGGACTTTCGCACAGACTGCCTTTTCGTCAACCTTTAGATAAGAACCCTAAAACACAAAAGTAAGAGTGTTACATACGCTAAAAATCATACAGAATGTCAATGTTGTGATTTGTTGATGTTGTTTATTTTATTTTATAGTACAACCACTTAAACTAAGTAAATTTACAGATTTGCGAGTAAAAAGTACATTTTTATTGACGTTTATTTTTTTTAATCGACAGTACAAACTGTACTGGAAGGGCAATGGGCATTCTCAAATTGGTTCTGATTTTCATTTTTTTAATAGTTTTACCAAAATTGACTTTATTTTCCGTTAAATGTCAAATGAATGTATACATTCGTTACTCATTAACGCAGATCGCATCTATTGTTTTTCTTTACATAAGAAGCCATGCCGTAGAACTACTTTCAATCCGTATTAACTTCGAGATTATTATGAATAAACGCCATAGTGTTCCGATTACTGGCAAACCTGCCGGAAACTGTATAACTAATATCTCCACATGGCGATTATTTTACACATCTCTGGATGGTCTCAAGTATCAAATGTAATGCGGACATTTATCATTATTGGTTTGAAATGAAAATATGGAACAATAATTTAAGTATTGAATACCAACAGTGGGACTGTTGTAACAGGAGACTGTTATCAATCATGTTAACGCGGTACCGTGTGAAAACGGTGTTACTGTCCCAAGGAAATATTTTTTGCGCAATTCATTTGGGGGACATGTTCAATTAATGTAATTACTGTCCTTTCAGTACGCCTTGATACTGGTAGCTACCCTTGATTTCCCATGAGTTTAGTGATACATTATTGCATATAATATCATAAAAGTATTGCCTCTTGTCGCCTGCTGTTACTATCAACAGATATTGTTTCATTCTTCAAGAGAGAAAAGTTGAAACTGCCTAACTATATTATACTATTTTCAAAATTTATTATGATTATTTCTCAGAAGAGTTTTAATAGAGTGTGTCTATTATCTCACACAGGGCGGGCTCGTATTATTATTTGTAAATTAACACTTACAAACTACTACCAAAAAAGACAGGTGGACTAATTAATTGACATATATATATGACCTCTATTAATATGCATTTCAGTGTGATTTGCCAAAAAATGTAAATATACCCCACTCTTTCAAAATCATCAGGATAGTGTCATGGTATATGAACATTATGCCTCAGATACAAATACATTTCTTCTTCTTATATAGCATGGGCAGATATGAGTTTTATAACGATCAACTAATAGTTTAAGAGCTTGTTATGTTAGATGCTTGTTACCAGAAGAAAGACGGGTAATTGTGAAATTTATAATTTTCCATTAAAGTAGCAAAATGTAGTATTTTTACTTCCATACAAAATACTAAATTACTATGACTATACGAATGGACATAATGCATGATTTAAATTACATGAAGTGGACAATGAGAGAAACTATTTTGGACACTATAAATGTATACCAAAAAAATATATATAACTTCAATAATAAGAATAAAGCATGTCAGAAGTATAATATGGCTTTAAAGCACATGTACAAAACTGCACAACATGTGGTACTATATTTTAACGCGTATGTAGCGATAAAAAGCGGTCATATGGATACTGACTGTATCGTTACATGTATAAAGACAGCTGGTATGTGATTAATATAAACATACGGAGCGATATTTGTCCATTAGAACCTAATTAACTCAGTAATAGTAATAATAATAACGAATATTTATTGATATAATACCACTGATAGCATAAAATGGGAACACGTTTGAATTTTTTGTCAACATTATTAAGTCTTGAAGCTATCTAGATACGTTTAGATAACTTTGTTTTAGTGGAAATATCAATCAACTGATGCATTATTTGTTCTTTTTAGGTGCTCTGACTAGTAAAGCACTGTCAGGTGTAAAAATATATAAAGACAATGTGACTTAAATTAGCCTAAAGCACTTAAAAATCATAAAGACATCTTCCCAAGTTAATGACAACCCGAGCTACTTGCAATACCGCAATACGAGCTTTTGGTGCTTAATGTTAATCTATTAAAAATGTTATAAATGTCATAATGCTTACTGAAACTCAGTAAAGTTAACTTTTTTATTTTATGGTTAAAGTGAAGACGGAACAGGAGAATATCTAATTATATATATATAAGGTGAAATAATTGTTACAACGAGATTATTTTTTAAATACTGTTTTTTTCTGTGAAACAAAACGATGCTGAACTTTTTTGTGTGAATTTAATTGTAATGTTGATTTGTATAAATATACCTAAAATAGTTTGTTGCAGCTGTTTTTAATGGGAAATACTCACTAACATACTAAATAGTTACAGTGCAAAGACTAAAAACTTTAACAGCCTTTGTTTGAATGTATTTGTAGTCGCACGTTTTTCGCATGCTTTAAGGTATTAGCACCCTAATGCATTACCTCCGCTTTGAAGAGTATTCACTACTGTTAACTACATTGAAAATGAGGGCCATGGGTTCAATCCCCAGAAGGGTCAACTTTTTTTTTCTTTCTTTTTTTCTTTTAACATTATTTATGTATCTCTCATGTCCCATTTGGAAAGAAAAAAGTGTTTAATTTTGATTTTTTAATTTATATAGGTATTTATTGGCTAAATTATGCTAAATCTAGTAATAAATATGGTACCTGATGTTTTCAAAGTGTAATATAATCAAAACTAGACGGTAAAAGTATTTCATATTTTACAAGATCAACCAATATACTTTTTTAAAAATTTAGGGAAACTTTGAAAACAGGCACTCATTTGGGTAAATTTTAAGAATTTTTTAAATTAGTAGAAAAATGGTCAGACACGTGGTAAAAATGGGTGGGGTAGGGTAACATTTTTATACAGATTTCATAAATTTTAAGTAGAAACCATAATTTTGCTTATTTGGATTGTTAGCTGAATGGTACTATTTGTTTCTTACCAAAAATTAATGGGAAAACATTTTTTATTAGAATGTTATTGCAGATAAAAGTTCCTACTTTCTAAAAAAGGGCCCTCATAACATCCTAGCTTGAGTTCAGAAAAGTGGCCATAACTTGATTTCCGTACGGTAAACTTTGTTTAAATTTTGCATACAGGTGTACTTTAAGGTATACATCTGACTTATGATGTCAATTTTTTAGTTCCTGATAGTGCCCATTAGGGTCCTAAAACCTTAAGGTAAAATTATCATAAAGCAACGTATTTCTTTAGTTGAATAACAGGCATAAAAATAGATAGATAAATAAATAAATAAATTATAGTGAGTTAAAACTAGCGAACATCATTTCAAGTTTTCTCACATTTCAATGAGATATATCACATATTCACTTAAGACAAACAAATATGCTCTTTATATTTTCAATATAAAATAACATAACTATGGTATCTTTTTACCACTCTATATTATACATTATTTAAAATCGAGAGAAACCTCTGTGTGATGGATGGCCAATGGTACAGAATGTGCTTAAAATACGAATTGCTCAGACCTTACGAACGTTTTGTGAAACACACTTACCATCGTAAGTTTAAATGTAAGCATAAAGTTACGAAAATACTTACAAAAAACTTACGAATTGTAAGTAAAACCTTAGTAAAACGGACCAGTGGCGCTTTAATTGAAGCTTGGATTTTTTATGTACACCAAGTCATCTGCATGTAGTGCTTAAAACGTGATTTGGTAATATAAGTTATCACAAGTAAAACTTGATCAGGTTCAATCCTTCAGAAATTAATTTAATTTTTTAAATAAATTGCTCCATAAATAATAATGTTGATAGAATTTAATAGTATAAGACATAACAACAAACCATGAAATAATTATATATTATGGAATATGTGCCTATTTAAGACCTATCCATTTAAAGTTTTTCTTGAATGGCATTACTCGCTCAATATCAAATTCATCTATTTCACTTATTAAATAAATCTAATGTTTTTATTTGATTAAGATCTACGACATAAAAGAAATATTTCTATGGTCTGAGATTAATGATTTGTAAATAAGCATACTTGAGTTAAAATGTGAGCGTTTTTTTATTTATTGAAATACACCTCGTATGTCGTCTGCACGTCTACTTTCGTGTGTCTTGTGTAGGCCTCAATAGTTAGATATTTGGAATTATTTCATGTTCTTTTCAATTTACTCAGGTGAGTGATATTGGTCCACTTTGTTCTTGTTACTTACTACTTTTGTTTTTCTAGTTCATGCTTGTTCGGCAACACTTAGTTTATGCTTAGCATAACATAACACACAGGTATAAACAAACAAACATTAACATCATTTTATCTTGAGCAAAAAGTAAACTGTATAATTATGGCAAAGGTTGGGCAACCGAGACCCTTTCCAAGCGTTCTATCAGTTATAAATGAAATAAAATGAACATAGTGAAATTCGTTTTGTAATAACAATAGCATTATTCCAGACTACCACTAGCATTACCTCGAGGCTCGTGTTTTCCTCTCCATTCTACAGCATTATTCACGATAGCAGTTTATTTTTTATTTTAATTAAGCATATGCATCCATTGTGTTCCAATATTCTATTGTACATAGTTATTTCTATGGACCGTATCGCTTCTTATAAGACAACGCGATTATCAATATTGCACAATTTGCCCAAATATTCCACAACATTTTCTTTCGATATAGTTACTTTATCAAACAAGACCCTAGCAGTGTTTATGTGAATTAGTTTCCATATTCACCCACTTTAGCATATTACGATAGCTAAGGAAGAAAAAGCTGGATAAAAAAGATTACTTACGATACTGTTAATAAATCATATGAATACTAGTATATATAAGAACTTCAGGCAGGGGTGTTTAAAAATAATACTGAATTATTAAAAAAAAACCCAGCAACATCACTTTTGAGATAACGTTCCCCGCGTGCACTCAAGAGCACGTGCACTTCTCGATTGATGAAGAAAACGGATTCAAGACCTTCTGGATTGATTATACGGAAAGGAAAAACATACGGACACATTCGGACATTATTTTTGGTACGGACAAACATGAATCTTAAAACAACTTCTCATATTTTTAAGCAACTTGGCTAAGAAAGATTCAGAATTGAACTCAAGGTCGCGAGCCGTCAGTAGATTTACATTTGAACCGTTCCGCAAATGAAATTATATGCATTGATATGTATTAAATTATGACGGTATTAATTTAAAAAAGATTTCAACCTTACTTTTTATGTGATTGATCTTTATACATTTGTAATAAATAAAGCTTTGCAACAATGATATTTAAATCAAATTTTCAGATATTAATTGAAAATTTATTAATTAACATTTTGCAATAAAAACCTTACCTTAATATGTAAAATCCCTGTTTATGTTATTTTTGTTTACTCCTGTTATTGCATTGTTAATTATACAGTTATACGTAAGATGTATATATGTATTGGTTATTTCGCCTCCAACTATAACGCGCTGTAACAAGTGACAATTTAAGTCCCCAATACTTCCGCAAGAAATATGTAAACTGACCATCAAAGTTGTTTGAAGTCATGGACATAAAAACATTCAACTTACAAAAAATAAATATGCTATTTACATTTATTAAAATGCATTTTGTAAAAAAAATCAATACTCAATGCTATATAAACATATTAACGATGATATATGAATAGTGAATGAGATATATACAGACATGCATGGCGCTTCTTTTATATTTTTTTAATGGACTTTAATAATAATAAAAAGAATTTCGATATTGAATTGTGAGGATTAATAAGTGAACTTTAGAACTTTAAAATCGCCCCGAGCAACGTAGTATGTTTTCACAGAAAGATGCGCAATCTTTTCAGGACAGCGGCCAATCGTAAAACATCGGCTGTTTCCGTATACTTCGGATAAGAGGCCTCGACTCAAACCGTTTCAAACTGTAGTCACAGTCAAATATTTTTTCTATTTTATGGTACAGAAAGTGAAGATGTGTCAAAAAAATAGGCATGCACATTTTTGGTCCATAGATCTAAATTGATTGATAAACATTTTTAACATAAATTTTGGCTCTCCATCATGTGCCCATTATCTCATTAAGCTGTAATTGATTATGATAAGATATGAGCCGCGTCATGACAAAACCAACAAAATGGGTTTGCGACCAGCATGGATCCAGACCAGCCTGCGCATCCGCGCAGTCTGATCAGGATCCATGCTGTTCGCTTACACACCCCATAACAAGTAGAGAAACTAATAGCGAACAGCATGGATCCTGATCAGACTGCGCGGACGCGCAGGCTGGTCTGGATCCATGCTAGTTCTGGCTTCCAAAACTTTATAAGCCGCTATTTAACATTTTTGTTTTTCATCAGATGCGGCATTAAAGTTTTGGATTAGGCCCGTTACGAAACCTAACCAGAATAACCTAAGTTGATTTATTCTTGTTTTTCACTTGCAAATACACTCGACCCGATCAATTCTTGTGCATTTTACGGTAAAACAATTATTTAAATATCGTTCTATACCAATTCAAGTAATAAAATATTAATACCGTCATTAAAATTGCCTATTTAACTGTAAAACATCAATTTTCGCCGACTACAGTCGGCCATGACATTCAAGTGTCACGCGAGACCTCGTATGACGTCATTCGCGGGAACAGATTTGAATAGAGTTGTGTACTATATTTAGAACATTTTGTTGACAGATTTCGATATTTTTATTCAAGATAATGTTTTTTTTTATTTTCATAAATTTTTTAGTATTTAAATATGATTTTATTGAATATAACAGTCAGTAAATAACCTTTTTCAACATCTTAAAAAAAAGTAATCTATAAAAATATTGGAGGCACATGGGTTCATAAAGGTCAATCTCGTAATCACGTGGTCAAACATTTTGGCAATATGGCGGCCAAGTGCCGAAATTTTTACCTGTCGGAAACTATTAGGTAGTTTATGTTCCTAATAAGATTTTTATTTGTCCATCCTTGGCTTATCAACAGATTATATATCGTTTTATCAAGGTATGCTTCACTTTACTTCGTGGCATGTTCGATAAATAAATACGAGCGTGTCAGATTCCTGGCACGATTATTGGTGGACTTTCCCTACGGGGTTATCTTCAGCGTTCACGTCATGTCATATATATAAACGGGTACGCTGAAGACCTTAAGCTAGATCCATGCTGGTCGCAAACGCACTATGTTGGTTTTGTCGTGACGCCGCTCAATTATATAAAAAAATGATATGCGGTCTCCCCTGCATTTACAATCCATTTTATGAGGGGTTGGGGTGGTGGAGGGAATGGGGGAGTCAGTGGGTAATCGGAGTATCTTGTTCTCAATGCGAGTGTTAGGTTACTTGTCAGATTGTATATTTCTAAACCTTAAAATCTTAAAAGTCGTGCTCCAGGGGGAAATGCAAACTGAAAATAGTTAACCTATTAAGTTACAATTTTGGCAGCTTACAACATTGGTGTTTGTAAACGTAGATCTACATGTTGTTTTAGTGACGTTTTCTATTGTTTTTTTTGTGTGTGTTTTTTTTTTGTTGGTAGATCTACAGTACTGTACAGTATTTATTTGAAACAGATTAAATTATTGTTTTAATTACAATAATCAGTGCAATGACGTCATTCTAAGCAGGAAATTCATTCATAAAAGGCATCGGAATGACGTCATTTTAAAGCAATCGACTTGTCCTGTGAGATGTTTAAATACATATGCACATGTGAGTCTCTGACGAGCGTAACCATTTGGTATTTTATCCAACGAGTTCAGTAAATTTTGTAATTAGAAATAACGTTATAACATACCCAAAACACTGTCTTTGACGTTGCTCCCACTATTATTTATAGCATGTGTTTCCATATTGCGTTCCCTGTCCTATATTGGTTCCTATCCAAACTACACGCACCGGTTACGTCACACGAGGAGTTTGAATGGATCAGGAAACTCCCTTTGTAAATTGTCCAATAGATAACTATCCAAGATTGTAAGAACCAATGAAATTGCTCATGAATTATCGGAAGGTAAAAATAGAACGCCATAACAATAACGAAACAAGTTTATCCCTCGATATAATCATCAATATTTAAATTTCTGTTTCTAAAAAAGTAGTGGCCTATTTACCTAAGACGTAGCCTATTTATTAATTTAATTCTTTAGAAATGTCAATGTGTTTAATAATGTTTAAATAATAGTTTTAGAACATGCTAGATGTTTTTAAAAACAGCTGAAGAAATAGTGCTGAATGTGCGTATACCAATTGCCAACAAAGCAAAATAAGCAAAAATTGTCCATCTAGAAACTATATGGCATATGAGTAATTTTCTAGAAACTGTAACAAGATCCAAAACATCTAAAGTTCTTGTGAAATGAAAATGATAGCATAATGGACCTTTTACTAACCTAGACCTTTTTATCTGAGAGACTGATTCCTTTTACTGTACAATTCCAGTATCTCATTAAAACTTCACAAACCTATACAGGCAAAAAAAGGGCAATGTAAAAGAACCGACTCCCAAAACATGTAACATGAATAATACATGCACTTGAGAAAGAGGTAGCTAGGCCAAAGTTGTTATTAGAACTACTGACCTCACAATCAATAGAGGTCATCTACTTGACATTGGCAATGCCACTTCAGATTAGAAACCTAGGCTGGCTTGTTCAGATGGACTAAGTGTCACTGCGACCTTGACCTGTGGTCTACTGACCTCGAAACAATTTGCCTACTGGCTTACTTTGTGGGAAGACAACAAGCGGACTTTCGTAAGGTAGTTAGTACCACCTAAGTTATCTACGTTATCCATGCCGTTTGAGGTTTATTTTCGTACACTGGGGTCATAATGCAGATGACGTCGTAAATAGGTGCATGGTCGTGCTATACTGTTTTTACGCAGTCAAAAAAGCGGAACGGGTATTTGATGAATGATTTATCCAAAATTATTAGAATGAAAAAATCAAAAATATTATAAACTAGACCTACCGATATCGTTTTGATAAACGAGATTATACACAGATTAAAATATAAAGATATAAAAAAATACATCGTTTCTGTGTCTATAATATGAATACCAAAATAAAGCGAAATGAATTTAAGCATTTAATTATGTATTGATAAAGATTGAAATCGATTAATCCATTCTATTTATACAAATCGTTTGATTTCTACAACCTTATTATAATTTCTTCAAAATGGAATAGACTAATATTTCGTTTAACATGCAAACTTTCTACATACAAGAATATAGGTGAACGTTATGTCGTGAAAAGGACAGGGAAAGTGTCGTAAATTGCACGGCAGTATGCTGTACAAGCTACTATTGAATGCCATATTATAATGGTCAGTCAAATAAAGGCACTCAAAGATCGTGTACTTTAATTTGAGCGACAACGACTTCGTACTGTAAATATTATGGCACTCAAAATCAAATTACTAACTTGGAATTTCATAATACAGTTTTAGATTTGTATAATTATAGTACAGTATTTTAAGTGCCTAAAAAGTTGTACATTTGTTTGTGTGTTTGTTTTAGTTTAACGTCGCACCAACCCTCTAAAGGTTATATGACCACTTTCCAGCTTTACTTGTAGAGGAGAAGACTTTAGGCGTCCGTTCGTGCATTATTTGAGGCATTATAACGGGCACCTGAGTAGAACCACCGACCTTCCGTAAGCTAGCTGGATAGCTTCCTCACATGAAAGAATACAAAGTCCTTTGAGGGATTCGAACCTATAGCGGTTAGAGGTAAGCAGTTAATTGTCACTACCCTACCTTTGAGTGGCTTAAAAGTTGTTGTACATTGTCGATCAACTTATACCACACTACCTTTGAGTACGTTAATAGTCGTACTACATTGTCGATCACATGTGTCTCCAGGAAAGCCAGGTTGTTGGATTGACCGCCAATATATTACTAAAGAATATATTAAAATCGACGTAAAAACCTGGCAGAAAAAAAAACAACAAAGAAACTCTTTCAACCAATTTGCAGTTCTCTACCTTCAGATTTGCAGAGCACTGATCTTTAAAACTTGTCCTACGGGATTTAATCAGTTATTGAACAAAAATGTAGTACAACGCATTACAGGCTTATTTACGTCGTCATGCAAGGTATAGTTCTCAACCTTATAAGGGCTATTGAGACTACATCACAGGAGAGCTGCGGACCTCGAATGCCCAAGTTGGAGTGTTTGACACACAGAACGTTTTTTTTCCATATGTATATAGAAGCTCGCAGTTATAGAATTAGCTGGGTATTATTCTAAAATATTTGTTAGGAAATAACCCACCAATAGGTAGCTTGAATACGGTTGAACTGGCGTTTTCAAGAAGAAAAATTAACAAATATATACCAGTACAAACTGTTCAGAGTGACCCCATTCGGAATACGAAAATTAAGGTTATTGCCGGGATTCTTTGCTCTAGAGAGGTTAAATTTATTTAAAAGTGATACTTTTGGAAGAATTGCTGTGCTCTACACAGGGTCGTTCTGTAGAGGTTTTACTGTATATTCCTTGCACACTATAAACAAAAACAATATTTTAGATGACCATACCGTATGTTAACTGCGTCATAAATGATGGAAACAATAAGTTATTCCCTGTGTTTAGGATAAGATCCTAGAATAATGTTCTATATCAATAAGGGAAAATGGTAATATCGAGCTATTAGCGATATTGTTATATATGTAAATGTAAGGAACATATTTCCTAATGCCGGCGGATCAACTAAGCAATCAATAAGCATTTTTCCGTGTGTATAATACGTATATACAAGAAAAGCATTGATGCAAAGCATCAAAGGGCGTCCAAACAGCAGGTGCAGATGAACTAGTAGATATATGATGACAAGATATTCTTATAAACTTTTCAATGGTTCATTGGGTTTTACCAGAATTGTATATCACTTTTGAATGAACGGACGAAAGACATTGTTCATTATTTATAACTTTGATCGGCATGCTAGAAATTAGAATATTACTTGTTATTTCTTTATGATCGTGGTTATTAATAGCAACGGATATACATGTATACAATCATTTATAATCCATATGTGTAACGCATGATCAACACCATACTTGTGTAATTGTCCCTTATTATGTTATTGCTATTAACGAGGACCCCTCTTAAGGTATCTGTTCACACTAAGTAACAATATGACACTTGTTATATTACCATGTTGATCATGTTGAGCATAGTTGTTTATTATACAATAAATGTAATTTCTATTTTAATAAAAAAAAATACAGATTTTATGAATATTGTTTTCTTTTCTTTTTTTGTGTGTGTTTTATGCGCTATTTTAATACTGAGTTTTTACGTTTACTACTATTTTAAGAATTCAATTGTCATAATGATCGACGATTATAAGTCAAAACTTAACTGGAAAAAGTCAGTAAATCATGGTTAATCTTTCAATTTATAATATTGTTTATTCTTAAACCATATACATGTACATTTGTATTTTTCTTTATCATTTTTAAATTATTAATCAATTGAATAATTCATAAAATCTGATTTGTAACTTTGAATAATTCCTCGAAATCTTTACAAAACACGAATAACAAATTATATAAAATGTTTTAAAGTTGATAGTGTCATAGTAATGCCATAAAAATGTACATTTTTTCTCAATTATTGTACATATTTATTGTTTTTATCTCATATAGATAAAAATAAACATGCGATTTGTGTTGTTGGTTTTTTTTTTTCGAATTGTATGTTTATGTATAATAATAATCAATCAATTCGAGAGTTGATCTGTGTTTATTAATTATTGTAACCAAACTAAGTGACAAACATTCATTTTGAAAAAAGCTTATTTATCTGTAAAATATTTGTTCTGTTCTGTAACGATATCTACTCCAAAACCGGGAGAGACCGGACAATAAACGTGTGGTACTATTCGCGGTCATTAGTAAATCCCGGGAGAGACCGGGAATTACCTAGGAGTACATCCCTCTATAAATAGATTTTCGGAATATTAAGGTCATCAACTCATCATTCTATTAACAGCTTTCGGAATAACATACCATAATAACCCACTGTGTACTACAAAATGATAAGCAAAAATACCCCGAAGAGCGCGATTTATTGACGGAAAAGGTTATTTCATTTGAAAATGTTTGCATTGCGAAATTCTCCAGTTCGCCATTCATTGTACATATCGCGACTAATTAACAATCAAGCACCCTCATACCGATCGGAATGATCGGCTTTTATTATTGGCAACTATAAAAGGCTCGAGAAGTTGCTGTCGCCCTTTCACAAAATCTCATTTCATTCCAATAGGCGCCGCGCTTCGGCGCGGACGCCAATAATGCTTTTCCTATTAGGGACTTTTGCTACTGTTTTCATAACTATAGATTCATTGACAAGATGAAAACTGTTTGCTAATTTTGCACGATTTTCAATCTCGTTAAAGGCCCATTATGCCTCAGAGATGCTTCCATTTTTATTTCTCAAAATCTTTTTTAAGTTTGGTGTCTTACTGTAGTTAAAAAAAAGGCAAATTGCCTTATCTACTATTTCGCAATTAGTGCAGTTACAGTAATTTAGTATTTTGTATGAAAGTCAACATTCCGCTTTGTTTACAAATTGCAACTTTTATGACAAATAATTTCACATTCAGCAATACTTTCTTTAAGTGATAAGCATGCAATATACAAGTTTACATGTTATAAAATTCATGGAAAGTCATTAATGAATACGAGGAACAAAAGCGGTCCTAATACTGAGCCTTGAGGGACGGACGCTGCTAACGACTGGGGCTTCTTCAGATGACTGCCTTTGACCAGCACTCTCTGGTTGCGGCCATTTAAGAAGGAAAATATCCATTGGAGAGTCCTGCCTCTAATATAAACGGTCCTATTACTGAGCCTTGAGGGATGGACGCTGCTAACGACTAGGGCTTCTTCAGATGACTGCCCTCGACCAGCATTCTCTGGTTTCGGCCATAAAAGAGTCCTGCCTCTTATACCATAATGATGGGCCTTCTTGAGGAGTCTCTGTGGTACCCGGTCAAATGTCTTGCTGAAGTCAAATATAATCATGTCTGTCTGGATCCTCTTGTCAAGTGATTTTGCCAGCTCATGCGCAAGGGTGAGG